TACAGAAGACCTGAGTTCGAATTCCAGCATCCACATGGCGGCTAACAACCACCTGTAACTCCAGTTCCAGGGGATCCAATGCCCTCTTGTGTCCTCCACCAGCATTTCACGACATGGGTGCACTTGTGTATGTGCAGACAATATACACATACACATAAAAATAAAAGCCAAAAATTTTTTTTAATGTGTCCATGTCTTTTTTTATTTTATTTATTATTTTTATTTTATGTGTATGCATGTATTGCCTGCATGTAGGTAAGTGCACCTGTGTTGTACAATGCCCAAGGAAGTTAAAAGAAGCTGTCGGATCCCCTGGGACTGGAGTTACAGACAGTTGTTAGCTACCATGCGGGTGCTGGGATTCGAACCTGGGTCTTCTGCAAGACCAACCAGTGTTCTTAACCACTGAGCCATCTCTCCAGCCCCTGATATCCATGTCTTAATGTCTTAATCCCTGGGACCTATGCTACTTTATATGTCCCCCCCAAAGAATCTTTCTAGAGACGATAAGGTCAAGGATACTGAGATCCAGAGATTATCCTGGTAGGCCCTAAATGCAATCACAATAATTCTTTGTTGTTGGTTTGTGTGCAGTGCTGGAGATGGAACCCAGGGCCTCATGCATGCTAGGAAAGTACTCTACCACAAAGCTACACTTCTATGTCTCAGGTAGTCAGGCAGATGGAGTGAGATTAGACATAGACAAAGAGGGCCATGTGAAGGCAGAGTGAGGAGAGATTTGAAGAGCCAGGTGTGGTGGTACTCCCCCTAACCCCAACACTTGGGAGAGAGAAGCAGGAGGATCAGAAGTTCAAGGTCATCCTCAGCTACACAGCAAGTTCAAAGCTGGCCTGAGAGTTAAAGAAAAGCAAATAGGAAAGGAAAAGAGGAGAGAAGGGAAGTGGAGGGGGAGAGAGACATGAAGAGAGCATTGAAGATTCTGGCCTTAAAGACCATAATGATGTATCCACAAATTAAGGCCACCAGGAACCATAAAAGACAATATAGCCTTGCCTAATTACTACTCAATGAAACTAACTTTAGACTTCTGGTCTCCAAAACTGTGGGAGAATAAATTCATGTTATTTCAAACCACCAATTGGGGTATTTTGTGACCGCAAAAATAAGAAACTAAGGTAGGCCGGATGCTACTGGCATCTGGTAGGTAGAGGCGGGGGGGGGGCTACTAATCTTAAGGGGCAGGGGTGAGCTCCCTGCCACCTCCATACTTCCCCCACTTCCATCAACTCCAGTCAACACATCTTACCTGGGAGTAATCACTTTCTTCTGCTTCCTGCATTTTAGTTTCACCTCCTCCTTGGGAGGGGGCGAAAACCCCCAGCCTAAGTTTCCTATAATCACAGCTGGGAAAGTTAGTGGCTGGTTTACCTTAGACCACTATTGTTTGTGTTTGGTTTGGTTTTGGCCTTGAAGTCACAGTGATTACCTTGCTCTGCCTTAAGTTCTGTGATTACAGGCATGTACCACCACACCTGGCTTACGGCCACTCTTGAGAGATACCTTAAGACTAAATTAGAAAAAAATACCACAATGATAAATACTAGAGCAGGTGTAGGTGAATGTGATTTTTATAGGCCTGTAATCTCAGCACTTGGGAGGTGAGAGTGCAGGATCAGGAGCTTAAGGTTATCTTCAGCTACACAGCAAGCTTGGACAGCCTGGGAGACATGAGGGCCTGTCTCAAATAGCCAAAAAATTACCACTGGGCATGGTGGCACAGCTGGATCTCTGTGAGTTCAAGGCCAGCCTGGTCTACATAGTGAGTTCCAAATCACCTGGGGCTACAGGAAGACACTGTCTCAAAAAGAGAAAAAAAATTACATTAGCTCCTCTTGACCATGGATTTTACTGTGTAGAATGTCACAGGACTTTCAGTTTTAAAATCTCTGTTGTGGGCCTGGAGAGATGGCTCAGCAGTTAAGAGCACTGGCTGCTCTTGCAAAGGACCCAGGTTTGATTCCCAGCACCACATTGATAGAATATGTGAATTGCAGAAGAGCCACAAGCCTCATTAGGGAAAGCCATAAATCCATTTAAGTGTCTAACTGGCCCTAAATTGGCAGCCTGGCCTTGCTCAAGCTTTATCAACTGGACACTCCCTGGACTGAGAGACAGACTTGTTTAAAAAATACCATGGGGACTGGAGAGATGGCTCAGCAGTTAAGAGCACTGACTGCTCTTCCAGAGGATCCAGGTTCAATTCCCAGCACCCACATGGTGGCTGACAACTGTGCATAACTCCAGTTCCAGGGGATCTGACGCCCTCTTCTGACCTCTGCAGGCACTGCATGACATGGGCGTACTTATATATATGCAAGCAATACACTCATACACAGAAAATAAAAATAACAAACAAAATATTTTAAAGTGCATTTTTTGTATGTGTTTATGTATCTGAGGTATGTGTGTGTGTGTGTGTGTGTGTGTGTGTGTGTGCGCGCGCGCGCGCACAGGCCTATGAAGGCCAGAGGTTAACATTTTAGTGTCTTCTCCAGTCTCTTTCCATTTTTTGGGATAGGGTGTCCTAGTTAGCTAATGAAATGAACAGATGGTTCTCAAAATATGAAATACAAATGGCCAATAAATATATGAGAAATATTCCACTTCATTAGCTGCCAGAGAAATGCAAATCAAAACGACGCTGAGATTGCAAAATGGCAGCCATGAAGAAAACAAATAATAGCAAATGCTGGCAAGGATGTGGACAAAAGGGAACTCTTTTATAGTGCTGATGGGAATGTTCAGCCACTATGAGCATCAGTACAGAGGTTTCTAAAAAAACAGATGCATAAAATCATGTATGTTTATATGAAATGAAAGAGGAAGCAAAACTGTCTAGGGGACTAATGAGAGTTGAGAAAGAAGGAGAAAGGCGAAAGTAAGGAGCAGGGGGATGTGCTCCAAGTACAATATACACGTGTATGAAAATATCCTTACACTGACTGCTCTTGCAGAGGACCCAGGTTTGATTCCCACCAGCCACATGGCGGCTACGAACCATCCTTAACTCCAGTTCCAGGGAAATCCGATGCCCTCTTCTGACGTCCGCAGCATTGCACGGCATGGGTGCACTCACATACATGCAGGCAATACACTCATACACATAAAATAAAAATAATAAAATATTTTAAAAAGGAAATGTTTTTATGTAGCCAGGCGTGGTGGCACACGCAGAGGCAGGCGGATCTCTGTGAGTTCAAGGCCAGCCT